CTGTTTCGGCCGGGGTAGGATTCCGGGCTTCTAGGGTTTAGGGTTTAGGGTTTAGGGGTTTCGGGTTTAGGGTTTAGGGTTCAGGGGCTTAAGATGTCGGTTGGACCTTTTTTGCTTAGGAACTGTTCCTGGGCCCCGGCAGCCGTTGCCTGACGCGGAGGCTGCAGAACAGTTCGAATCCGAAACTACGCCGCAGTCGTCGTTCACGGAAGTACGGAGATCAAGGTTCGAAAGAAACCCAGGTTCAGGGTTTAGGGTTTAGGGCAGTCTGTGTGTTGTACATATTTAGGACCTGTGTCATCCCAAAACCCTCCTTTAACAACTGATCAGGGATTACCCATACCATAAAGCCCAGGAAAGAGCAAGATTATCAACGGCCCTGAGCTCTAAACCCTAANNAAACCCTGAAGCCTGAACCCTAAACTGGTAAACCCCTTAATCGGGCTTACACTCCAAGATTCGAGTGAGTGTGGGTCTGCTTCATATCATCTGGCAACTTTAGATCGAAGTGACAACATACCGAAACCCAAGACCATAAACTTGAAAGGTTTGGGGTTTCAGGGTTTAGCTTCGAAGTGCTCTCTCAGAAACCACAGGGACCTTCATAGACTTGAAGTGGTAACACGAATCGGGAAACCTGGGTCTCAATAATCACCTGCATTATTCCTAAGGGTTTTGCGGTTTAGGGTTCAGGGTTTAGGGTTTAGGGTTTAGGGTTTAGGGTTTAGGGTTTAGGGTTTAGGGTTTAGGGTTTAGGGTTTAGGGTTTAGGGTTTAGGTAGCTTATACTGGAGCATCTCTCGAAACCCTAGAGGATCACGAGGAAGTAGACTCCCCTTTTGGTTGGGCCTCCTTATAAGGAGATGTATCTCCCATGCTGACTCCGGACCTTTGTTATGGAATCCTTAAGGGAGGGGGTTCTAAGGGGGGTATATAACCCAGTACTCCCCAGTTCTCCCTAGTACTCCCTTAGGTTCCCTACAGCTCCCTAAGGATCCCTAGGACCCTCCCCCCTTGAGCCACCCTCCCTTAAGGATCCTATAACCTTGGAACAACCCTCATAACTACCCCTGGAGACCGAGACCCAAACACCGTAAAGCACTCAACCATAAAACCATAAAGCAACAAACCCCACAACCCCCCACCTCCCAAATCATTGAACCCCTAAACCTTGTAGAACCTGTATAGAACAACCATGGAACCCTTGAAGAACTCTGATAATATCCTTAACCCTACACCTCATCTCCTTCCTCCCATCACGCGACGCGAAAACTTGAAACCAATCCTGTTAAAGGAAACTACAGGTGGGGAGTTTAGGGTATATAGCGGCTTCTATAAAACATAGACCTTCTATAACTACCCACCTGAAAATGTCCTAGATCCTGGCTTGGGCTTGACCTTGCTTTTGCAAGAGCCCACGCTGGAGGATCAGGAGCGGTAGCCTAGATCCTACGCCCTAAAGACGGTTTAGGGTTTAGGGTTTAGGGTTTAGGGTTTAGGGTTTAGGGCCAAGACCCTAAACCCTAAACCATGCTGAACCGTAAAGCCCTACACCCTAAACTCTGAGCCCTAGCCCTAGACCCTAGACCCTAAACCGGCCGATACAAGGGAAAAAGTTGATAACCCGGCTTTGTGGAGGAAGATCGTAGGGTCAAGGGCCTAGGGAAACGATGCCGATATAGGGCTGTTGGCTTTTTTCTAAGGATCGGAGTAACTATTCCCTATGGACGTAGAATAGAATATTCGCCAAATGCCCTGTTCTGAAAATTCAAGCCACCGTATTAGGGCTGTGTGCAGGTTCAGCACACCTACTTCGTGCACTTCTGGCCCTTGCTAGAACCTACCTCGCGAAGCGCTCAGAACCTCAAAGCTAAGACCCTAGACCCTACCGATAGTAACCATTGTAATTACCTCAAAACAAAGAAACATACTCATTTCTGCAGGGTCACCTCTTTCTTGTGGGTCCCCTCTTTCTTGTGGGCCCCTAAACCCTAAACCCCTGAACTCTAAACCCCGGACCCTGAACCCTAAACCCTAAACCCCTGGACCCTAAACCCTGAGCCCTGAACCCGATTCTGGCTGCTCTAGGTAATCCTGATCCTCCAACAAGAGGGCAAAGATAAAGGTGCGATCGCAACGCCCCTTCAAGATCTCTAGCTTGGAGGGGCCAGGTTCTTCAGGATTTAGCTAGGGTTTCGGATTTTACTTCAAGGGTCATGGGACTTATAACTAGGGTTATAGATAAGGTAACTATACCTGTAATGACTTATAACCCCAATTAAGGTACTTAGAACCTTACTTACTAAGTCCCATGATCCTCTAAGTAGGGTCCTGGATGCGTTGCTTGGCTTTGGGGACTGGGGCTCTACTGTTGATAAATTGCCGATCGGCTCGGTGTGCAAGCTGTACATGCACTGCGAGAGTCTACTCAACTCAGCACACGGTGGTACGACGCCTGATCAGTGGGCAGTTGCACTCAGGCTTGTAAGCTGGGCACCTACGGTCTCACAATGCGGGCGCGCACATGCTCACATGCATGCCATGCATTCATGCGTATAGAAAATAGAACTACATACATGCATAAATACAGACAGACAAGACTGACCGACAGCCCGACAGACGGCGACGGACTGAAAAACATCCAGGCAGACACAAAGACGACCCTAAACCCTAAACCCGCAGGCGGCCCGGCGAACCTCAAAGACCCGGTCGAGCGCGACCGGCCATAGGATGGCTGTCCTGAAGCTCCAGCTGGATCGGCTTCGGGGGTGTAGGGCTTAGGGTTTAGGGGCTAGGGTTTAGGGCTTAGGG